CCCCTCTGCAGCCGCCGCTTGAAGCCTCCCCGTGTCGCTTTCCCCAGCCATTCTCGGACTTCCAGGTGTCCGAGAACGGCTGGGGAAGGCGGCGCGGGGAGGCTACCGGCATCGGGGACAGGGTGGGGGAAGGGTGTCCGGAAGGCTTCCAGGCCTTTGCATTCCCATTTGTAAGCTGAAGAACCACCACTTGTATGTAGATACTTTCTGTGATCACATGGCTCGCATGACTAGACATGGAATGCAATTACCTTCCTTGACTATATTATACCTTTTAAATGCTTCTCCCTTTTTCCCCACCCAGTCACTAATTGCGACAAACAAAATCACAGAAAAAAAGAAAGAGGCAGATAGTACTTGCTAATTCCAGTTCTGCTGAGAATTATACAAGGTAAGTTGCAATTATAAAGGGTATGCCTAACTTGTCAACTTGTACTAATAAAAGTAATTAAACATGCTATTGAATTGGAGACTTGATTACATATGCTTATAAACACCATGTGACCTAAAAAAACTCCCCCTCTTCTCAAAAAAGCAAAAACATGATTACCTGCATAGTAGCATGGTCATCTGTGTGCAAGCTACACTGAGCCACAGCAGGAAAAGCTTGACATATTAAGAGCTCTGAAAGAGGGGGTTTAGTATTTCTCACAACAGTTGTTAAAATGTCTATCGAAGTCTAAAAAACAAACAAATCAGAAACAGGAATAAATTGTAAAATAAACAGGCTGAAAACAATAGGCTGAATTTATCCCCTGCTTACTAAAATCAATATTGAAAGAGCAGGAAATTTTAGTTCCTGATTGAGAGCTGTTTATTTCTGTGCTAAAGAAATGAAAACTGGCACTCAAATACATATTTTTCAATTAATATTTCATAATTTTTGCCTAAAAAACCCAGGGATAACAAATCAGTTTTCAGGAGTCACTTTTATCAACTTGGAGTTACCAAACCAACATTCCTGAAAAGGTGCTGTAAGGTGGATTTAGACCACTGGTTCTTAACCTTGGGTTACTCAGGAGTTTTGGACTGCAACTCCCAGAAGCCTTCACCACCAGCTGTCCTGACTGGGGTTTCTGGGAGTTGCAGTTCAAAAGCATCCGAGTAACAAAGGTTAAGAACCACTGATTTAGACTAAAGTACTTCAACTTAAGCCACACTGATTTCAACAAGAGCTACGCTCAATCCATTCAAGTCTGTATCCAATCCCATGCTAATGAATGGTCAAACGTTTAATTCAAAAAATAATTACTAAAATGAGTCCCTTGGACCTAGAAGAACAAAGATGAATAGCATGTAATTCCCAGAATAAATATACGCTTTCCCCAGTGATGACTAAATGCATTTTCCAGAGCTAGCATGGGAATGAATGTTTCTGTTTCCTTTTGAGAAAAGCTGGCCAAGACATAGAATATCTCTCATTTTGAAAATGTGTCCAAATACTTACAGCACAAAGCCCTGCTGGAATCTTATCAGCAGGAGCCTGCATGATACTAACAAGAGTTGGGATTAATCTCATCTGCATTGCATCTTGGCAAGCTTCTATTTGTGCTAATTCCTTAAAGATATCTTGGGCAAGAGAGGCCACAACAGGATCTAAAGGAACAAAAAGCATCAATTGCTACTGAGGATTATCTAGATAAAAATCACAGAGTTAAAATAAGTTTAGTACAATTGATACTAGATTTTTTAAAAATGCTCTTCTAGGGCATCAGATAGAATGTTCCTATCCATATAAGTATGGTCACATTTGTTTCAAAGTGTTGAAGAACAAAAAGAGAAGACAAAACTTCAATAGCTGATGCTCTTACTTCAGGTGTTACATGTAGGGAGAAAATAATAAGAACCTCAGGATTCTAGACTAATGTTTAAGTGAATTCTTCCATATCTCTTATTCTTAACACATTAGACTATGTGAAGAGTCTGTGAAATCATAGTATTTGGTTAAATTACAGATCTACAGTTCACAATAACGAATATTAAACTTTTTGATGTAATAAGCTAAATCCAATTATTACTCTAAGTGCAGTAAACAAATTGAATCAACAGGACTCTGGTAAATCAACATTTAAGTCGCAGCAATTCAACCAGTCGATTCTGATTGGCGCGAACAATTACTTTTATCCACAATAAAGGATTTCAGTGTAACATTTAAAGTGTGTTTGCCTTTGTCGAAACAAGAATGAAGAACAAACAACAAAGTTTGTCGACAGAAAACCACAAAATATCAGGAGGCTTCAATATTATCTTTCATAAAATACACAGAAAAAGCAACTGATTGTATAATCCTGTAATCAAGCACAGTTTTTCTTTCAAAGATATTTTGACTGATTTGGCATTTAAACGAAAATCGTTGAAGATGAGCTATATCCATAATTACATCACCAAGATACTGTCTGGGCACATACCATTACTATACTTGAGAAAGATTGCTATGGTGAAGGGACATATCTTGTTCTCTACACTTGCTGTAAAGGCTGGATCTACTGTGCAAACAATGCAAAGGGTTTCCATCACAAGATTCAGAACCTCTGAACTAAATTGAGCTGCTAAATGGATTAGTCCATCAAGGATACTGGGAAGGAAAGGCTGTAAGACATGGGTGCTGTCAGAAATCTTCAGCTGGTCACAATAGCTAAAGGGAAAAAGATCAGGAAAGTCAGTAAAATTGTAACACTGTGCAACACAGCTCATAATCACACATTTAATATTACAGATCCAGTACCTCATCCATCATACAAAATTCTTCAACGTATCACAAATCAACCAAACTATGTCTTATTTCCTGCTCTACATACCCCCAAATAGCCCTTACTGCAGAAATTCGCACGGAAGGCGGTTGCGTTTCATGAAGACCACTGACTGTAGCTTGTAGGAATTGCTGGATAAGTTCTGGAGACATTGCAACTGTGAATCGACTTGCAGCCCATAAAGCACGACCAAGCAGAAAAGGAGACACTAAAAGAAAAAAAGATGTTTATGTTAGTGCTGTTTATTTTCACAAGGATCATCAAAAAGCAAGGCTCTCTATATAATTGAGAAGGGCTCCTTAACAGGGATGGAAGGAACAGTTAAGATACCTCATTATTAACATATGTGTCCACACAATCTTGCCACTGAAGTATCCAAGGCATGAAAAAATAATTCTTTAGTGTACCTGAAAACCTCTTCCTTCGTTGTACACTGCAGAGAGATAGAATGGGGTGCCATAACAGTGCAAGACAGCCAGATAGTCAAAGTCTCTGGACAAATGTACACACCCCTCCTCTTTCCTTTATGGATGGCAGAGACAATAGAGGTACTGTACAATGTTTCCAAAGCTAAGAGTTCTGAAGGAGTGGCAAATTTCCAGGGCATGTGGAGATGGAGGGGAGATAGAAGCCACTGACTGTCCTGTTTTAAACTCTCATTAATTGCCATAATTAAAAATAGATCTTTAGTTTAGAGTTCAGTGATTTATGAATTAATTTTGGCATGCATGCAAATGCAAAGGTAAAATTAACTTAAACCTAAGAAATCCTTTGACTCAATTTATATGCATAATAGCACACAGTCCCAACTAATTTCCCAATGCCTTGTATCATAAATACTTAGTTGAACTTTTGTTCCTAGGCATCAATCAATAATTCAAATGATGAAGTACCTGACAAATTGAGGTCTGCAAGAACAACATTTGTTAGAAATCCATGCATATCAAAGTGTATTCTGCCATTCTTCACACTGTCTGTGATAAGAGATTTGACTGAACCTAAAGCCAGCATGCAAGCTTCATGTATCTTCCACCTGCAAAATACAAGTGACTTAGGTTTTCCAACACTCACTTTTCTAATTTACTTCCATGGAAAAGTTAAAGTAGTTTTGTTACCATTAATAACAATAAAATATTAATAACATGTATTTATAAAAACTGTTTAGTACATACGTAAAATAAAACATACCAGGAGTTTATTATAATGTATATGGTTTATAATATACTTCAAATGAGAAAGGTATCAGAAGTTGTGCATACTATAGAATGCTATACCTCTGATATCCAAATTATTCTCATGTGCTTGAGATGCTGTTTGCTAGAAATGCAGCTCATCAGAGCTAGATTGGATTCTCTTGGATGGAAACTGAAGATGATTAAGTCCGAACGGACTGAAGTAAAGGGTATTTTCAATCACATCATTCTTCAGTATTTATCTTTATGAGTTAGCATTAATCGTTTTCTGAAAAATACCTTATAAATAATCTGTTTAAGGTATGAATAATCACAGCTGAAAATAGTGAAACCTTGTCTCTGATTTAATAAAAGTGAGAGTTGAACTTATTTCAAAAGGTAGAGTTTACAAAAGGGGTGGGCAAAATGCAGCCTGCAGGACACATGTTGCTCCCCAGGGGCATTTTTGCAGCCTGCAGGATCACCCTAGAGCCTCAAAAAAATTGTATTTTGCCCCCCCCCAAGAAAAGCCCCAAAAGACCTTGTCTACTTCTTATTTGACCCAACTCCGGGAAGCAGTGGAAAAAAGGAGGGCCTGGAGGGCTCTGGTCCATGGGGTCACGAAGAGTCGGACATGACTTAACGACTAAACAACAACAAACTTTTTATTTACTGGACAGACCATGCACTACTTATAATGTGCTGAAATGAACAAGATTCTGACCCTTTGCTATTGTTGTTCTTTAGTTGTTAAGTTGTCTCCAACTCTTCGTGATCCCATGGACCAGAGCATGCTAGGTACTCCTATCTTCCACTGCCTCACAGAGTTGGGTCAAATTCATGTTGGTAGCTTCGATGACAACGTCCAACTATCTCGTCCTCTGTCGTCCCCTTCCCCTCTTGCCTCCACACTTTCCCAACATCAGGGTCTTTTCCAGGGAGTCTTCTCTTCTCATGAGATGGCCAAAGGATTGGAGCCTCAAGATTCAGGATCTGTCCTTCCAAGGAGCACTCAGGGTTGATTTCCTTCAGAATGGATAGATTTGATCTCCTTGCAGTCCAGGGTACTCTCAAGAGTCTCCTCCAGCACCACAATTCAAAAGCATCAATTCTTTGGCAGTCAGACTTCTTTATGGTCCAGCTCTCACTTCCATTGTTACTAAAAACCGCATAGCTTTGACTATACGGACCTTTGTTGGCAAAGTGCTGCTTTTTAAGATGCTGTCTAGGTTTGTCAGGGACGTGGTGGTGCTGCAGGTTAAACTACAGAAGCCTCTGTGCTGCAGGGTCAGAAGACCAGCAGTCGAAAGATCGAATCCACACGACGGAGTGAGCTCCCGTCCCTTGTCCGAGCTCCTGCCAACCTAGCAGTTTGAATGCATGCAAATGCAAGTAGATAAATAAGTACCACCTCGGTGGGAATGTAATGGTGTTCCGTGTCTAGTTGCGCAGGCCACGCTGGCTCTATGGACATGACTGGACTAAATATCAAGGGGAACCTTTACCTTTACCTAGGTTTGTCATGCAGAAGGTTTTATGTTCAATCTCCAGATAGATACGGGGCCTCCTGCAACTGCCCTCAACCATCCAGTCACCAGAGAGTATGTGAGCCCGAATTACTGTATCGTCTGCATATTTGAGGTTATTGATATTTCTTCTGGCAATCTTAATTCCAGCTCGGGATTCATCCAGTCCAGACTTTTACATGATGTATTCTGCATATGTTAAATAAGCAGGGAGACACAATATACAGCCTTGTCGTACACCTTTCTCAATTTTGAACTAGTCAAGTGTTCCATATCCGGTTCTAACTGTCCCACATATAGATTTCTCAGGAGATAGGTAAGGTGGGTCAGGCACTCCCATTTCTTTAAGAACTTGCTATAGTTTGCAGTGGCCCACACAGTAAAAGGCTTTTGCATAGTCAATGAAGCAGAGGTAGATGTTTTTCTGGAACTCTCTGGCTTTCTCCATAATCCAGCGCATGTTAGCAATTTGGTCTCTGGTTCCTCTGCCCCTTCGAAATCCAGCTTGTACTTCTGGGAGTTCTCAGTCTACATACTGCTAAAGTCTGTCTTGAGCATAACCTTACTAGCCTGTGAAATAAGTGCAATTGTATGGTGGTAGTTGGAGCATTCATTGGCACTGCCCTTCTTTGGGACTGGAATGTAGACTGATCTTTTCCAATCCTCTGGCCACTGCTGAATTTTCCAAACTTGCTAGCATATAGAATGTAGCACCTCAACAGCATCATCTTTTAAGATTTTAAATAGTTCGACTGGAATGCCATCACCTCCACTAACTTGCTGTGAGCCGTGCTTTCTAAGGCCCACTTGACTTCACTCTCCAGGATGTCTGGCTCAAGATCCGAGACATCCAGATTTTTCTGGTATAATTCCTCTGTATATTCTTGTCACCTCTTCTTGATGTCTTCTGCTTCTGTGAGGTCCCTACTATTTTTGTCCTTTATCATGTCCATTTTTGCACAAAATGTTCCTTAAATAGTTCCAATTTTCTTGAACAGATTTCTGGTTTTTCCTTTTCTATTATTTTCCTCTACAGTAGTGCCTCACTTAACGGGTGCCCCGTTTAACGATGAAATCGCATAGCGGTGAAGATTTTGCGATCGCTTTTGCGATACACACACACACACACACAAACAAGTTTCTCATGAACTTGGCCAGTGGAAAAAACTGCGCAACAGGACCTCTTGTCATCCATTGTATCATTTATCTGGATATCCTGTAGTAATCTATATACCCACTAACAACGTTGTACTATTTGTGGAAGAGAAATTAACTAGTAAAGTCAATATTTAAAACAGAAACAAACCTAGCAGGTTATTTAGATCTCCTAGGACAAATTTCCTCCAGGTCACTGAACTGAGTTTTATGAGTTTGTCCACTAGAGCCTCCAAATCACTTGCAAATGGCAGTAAGTAGGAAATTACTGCACATGTAATTTTATGCTTAATTTCTAACCTAATTATTCAATTGTGGAACAAAATCATGATTATTTTTAGTGTATGTTAAATTTTCTAAGGTATGACTGACTAATGATCGCCCTCTTCAGGAACTGCCTTAAGAATAAAGAAGCCACTGCTCTGGATCAGACCCAAAGACCTATCCAGGCCAGGATTCTGGTACCATAGTAGCCAACTAGATGCCTATAGGAACCCCATAAACTAGTGCACCCTCCCATTCATGTTCCCCAAAGACTCATACTGAAAGGCATACCAACGCTGATACTGAGGACAAAATCACTTACCAGTGTTCAGCCCCACTGTTCTTTGCCTGCTCAGCTTCTTGCAAGTGTCTTGTGGCTGCTGCAGCCAGAGCTGTTGCACTCTCATTCTGGAAATCAGCTGCCACAGCCTAAAAAAATAGGGCAATAGTTGGTATTTTGTGTAGAAGGCAAAAAAAAAGACTTGCCTACTATTGTATCTTGCTGATAACCAAGCTAGAAGTCGTAGTGCATGAACATAGTGTAGAGGTTACAGATACTCAGGCTCCAAGTTAAATATCTATATGGTAGAGGAAAGCTTCATGTGAAACATCAGTCTCTGGTTTATCATTACTTTTAAGCCGGAGGTAAAGAACCTGTGGATATCACTGGACTCTAATTTCCATTAGTCCCAGCCAGCATGCTCAACAGATAGTATGATGACTGTTACCTGGAGGGACCTGATTTAGATCCTTTGGAACACTGCATATTCTCCCTTACCAGCAATAAGTCCTGTGCAGCAATTCTAACTGTATAAGAAAATGTATCATCATCTTCATCTTCAACAAACTGTTGTGGGTTTGCAGTCCAGACTTTTATCTGAAAAGAAATCAAATTAGCACATCAATAATTTATAGAATAACTGCCTTTCAAGACTAACTAAACCAATTGTTACATATTGACAATTGTTTTATTTCCTATTTTGTTTTTTTATTCAGCACATTAATCACTGCATGCCATTAAGTCGATTCAGACTTATGGCAGCCCTTCCCAAGGTTTTCTAAGTACAGAGTAGTCAGAAGCGGTTTTTCATTCCCTTCTTCAGAGGGCTGTGCAGCTTGCCCAAGGCCACACAGGCTGGCTCTTCTCCCTGGAGGTACAGTGGGGAATTGAACCATCAACCTCTGCCTCCACAGCCAAATACCCAACTCACTAAGCTATCTAGACAGTTTAACTCAATGATTTTTTTTGTCTGTGGCTTTACAAGACAGGAGGTACTATGTCAGGCAGCACCTTTCTGACCCCAAATCCAAGCTTACAAAAAGCCAAACAAACATGAAATCAGTCTTCCAACATATCAAAGACGACTCGACTACCTTAAAAAAACAACACTATTATGCAAAATCCCCAGACTACTCTGTACATTATCTGCATTCTCATGCAGGTGACTTCTGGAAAAACAGAATGGGCTTCTGATACAATTTCTCCTCACAAAAAGCGTGTTTTTTTTCCATTTCTCACATTCTCCTGAGAAATGTAGGCAGAGTTGGCAATGCAAGATGATAACAAGAATACAACTCCTTCTCTTGCTGGTATATTGGCAATGCAAGATGATAACAATAAGAATACAACTCCTTCTCTTGCTGGTATACTCAAGTCTCCCCAAATGCTCCACCAATTCTTTTGCTTTTCAGTTATGTGCTGTTAAGCATCATCACGTTATACGAAATTGGTGAAGGGTATATGAGACTTCCAATTCTCAATTTATCATGGAATACATATAAAGAACTAGTGACAAGATACCACAAATGCAGAAACCCTATTGGTGTTGGCATGTTTGTATAATATCCTGCAGCTAACCGTGGCTAATTGATGATAAGGATGTATGACAGCTATGCGATTAGCTGTGTGACAAGGTACTCATCACTTAGCTACAATCATGACAAGTTGCACAAATTTTGCGTGAACACCTATAGGATTCTGCTATATTAATGAAAGTCAGTAACCTTGGTATTTTCCATTTGCAAAGGTAATTGCAACAGCTTGAATATGTTTCTCCTAACCTGTCTGAAACATCTGTTACTCAAAAGTGGAATATACCATTAAATCAACATTTCCCCCCAAAACAGCATTATAAGAACATAAGAAGAGCCCTGCTGGATCAGGCCAAGGGCCCATCAAGTCCAATGTCCTGTATCTCATAGTGGCCCTACCAGATGCCTCTGTGAGCACACGAGATAACTAGATAGCTGTCTCCTGATACCCCTTCCCCTGCATCTGGCATTTGGAGGTACCTTCCTTCTAAGCCTGGAGATTGTACATTCCCATCACGACTTGAGTGAACAGTTACATTAACAGCAGCAAAGGTAGGTGTTACACAATCACTGTATCTCAACCAATTATTTGATAAAAGCCAGAAGTGAAAAATATTTTTCAATTATCACTCATAGTGTGACAAGAACCTCTTTCTCAAGAAAAAATACACCTTGACACCAATGTTCTAACATTCTTACAGGCCTATTTCAAAACTGAAGACTCTTTAAAGGAAGTGATATGGATGCTGTATTTTCTAACACTAATTAACAGCCAAGTTTAAAATATGTATAAAATGGATTTTAACTTTTTAACAAAGTAATGTATAGAAAACATGCTTACTTGCTCTTCTGTGATTTGCATATAAAGAATGATGTAATATATTAATTCTGGCAAAGCCTTTTTTACTGTGCTTTTAAACTTGTGGTTTTCCAAGAGAGCATGAACAAATTCAAATATACTGAAGACTAGATTTTCAAAGCCCAAAACTTCACCTAAATTTGGAAGAAAATAAAAATAAAAAACAAGGAGACTTAACATTTTCTGGCATGAAAGAACTAAGAAACACTATGAAAAGCTTTCTAATAATTATTTCATTGCATAACATCTGTATTATTTTGCACAGACTCATATTTAGCAGATCTAGTTAATTTTAAATAGAAAAACATATTAACATAATCTAAAACTCTGATTTTACTGTTGCTCATTCCTTTGATCTTTCTCCAAGGACCTCCTCCCCCAAACAGCTGATCTTACAATATTCTCACAACTTAAAAATATTCTCCACGAAGCACCCCTTCTTTTTTAGATGGCCTAATCCTTCAATTACTTAAATGGATCATCAGCCACATCTCTAGCAACAAATTTCCTACCATCAGAATCCACTGGGTCCTCTACTTCTTCTGTGTAATTTACTTCTGTTCTCACATAGGTATAAGTTAATTAAGAAAAAAAATGAATTCAATTTACATACAGTACTTTTCATTTCATATCAAATCCCGTGTTCTGAAATTAGTGCATTTCTATTAAAATAAAAGGAGGGGGAGGAAAAATTTAAATTTTTAAAGAATTGTTGGGAGGTTTTTTTAAAAAATCTGTTTAGAAACAAGGTGCATCTTTCAATGTGAGGACACAAAATAATGAACTGAAAATATACTGCAGCTAATGCTTACAAATACAGATCAGCTCTGTCATCTTTGGGCCAAACTGTACATGATACTGATAAAGAAAGCTATTTAAAAACTTTATTTCAAACAGCAACAACCTGGAGGGTGTGCGGTTTAAGACAGGGACTAAAGCGAGTGTATGGGATTTAACTGTTTGCATCAAGCATCAGTTTCCCAATGAAAGTTGCTTCCCCAGCTGCTATTGATCTGACAGCAAAAACTTTCAGACACGCATCCACACTTCACATCAATGAGTTTCATAAATAATAGTCATTACAGCCTGCTGTCATTACCAATTACGCTAAGCAGGTGGATGTCTTTATCATTACTAACAATAACAGTGTTTATTAATGAGTTCGCTCAACTTTCATTTTTACCAATGAAGACAATGGCTGAAATTCTGTTGCTCAGTGTAGTAAACTGCACTACAGTAGCCTACTGCTGAATCAGTGGGGAGTTGGTGAACCAACTTCTCCATACTGTACATCCATTGATTCAAGTGGGTCTAATTCTAGTTGCAACCTATGCTAAAGTAAGTCACAGTTACGGTACGCCCATTTGAGTCAATGAAATTTATGAAGTTAACTCATCAAATCTCCAATGGTTCAATGGGTGTACTGTAGTGCCACTTACTACATTAAACAACAGAATTTCAGCTACCACAATTTATTCTCCCTATAGATGCTTAGATACATTCCATTTTGGCTGCTTGAAGAATGTATTGATTTCAAGACTTATTTATAATAATTGTTTGGCCCAAAACAAATATATAGTTGCATTTGTGATATTTGTCTTTAGAGCACTACACCTTCTTGAAGTGTAGTGCTCTAAAGACAAAGCATTTTATACACAGAATATACTCCCTGAGAATTTCAGCCATCTGTGATTTACACAGTTGACAACTGATGATGATTAGAAAATGACAACTGAAAGAAGTCAACCCACCACAATTTATGTTCCAGTCACAAAATTGCTGGTGCTAACAGCATTAGACAAACACATAGCCTGGCACCAAAAGACACAACATGCAAAGCAGGTTTGTAGAATGCCCAACTGATGTAGCCTACTCCTGAAAAACAAGATTCCCTGGATTTCCTCCTTTGTTCACCCATCCCCCGTCTCACTGCATCCTTCCTTAAAAATTATCTCTTATTGCAAAACGGTACAGAAAGGATATAAGGCTGCACTTTCTGTAAGTGTATTCCAAACAATGGGAAGAATCTGTTGCATGGAAGAAATCATGTGCCTTGGGTAATTCTTCACTAAAGCCGTCACTGCCTAAAGGAGAGGGGGAAAATTCCTTAGAAACATTAACAAAGTTTCATTTGCAAAATTAAGCATTTTTAGCATCTACCCCCGCTATTCTTTTCTAGAAAAGAAAAGATCTATTATTTTGTAGACTGACTACTAGTCAAGCTATACAAATACTTCTACTGATACAGCTGACTACTAATTAACCTACAAAATATACTTCTACTGATAAAGAACCCAGACACAGACACATTACAATATATGGACTCATATATTGGTGACAATAGCTGATACCAACTAAGTTTGTGAGATGATATAAAGCTTTTTTCAGCTTTGAGAACAATACTGAAAAACATTATGTACTTATGTGAAAACTTTAGTCCAGAGATCTAACAATTCTGAAAAATGACTTCTGAGTTACACAAAGTCCTTGCCCCGGCCTTATTCTAAATTTACTGTACAATGAAATATCATGTAACAATTTGTAACTATTAGTGCATAGAACTTTCCTATAGTGCTCTTCATGAAAGGAATACGCATTTTGGTATGAAAGAAAAAGGATCCAAAAGATCTTTCATTAAAAGGATATTAAGATGCATTTTGTTTCTGCCAAATCAATGGCTCCTGTATGTTACCATTACTGGCAATTCAGTTAGCACCACCTTTGTTTTATTGGTTCATTGTACATTGCAAAATAAAAATACTGGTGTAATATAGTATATTACATTGACAAAAAATTCTCAGGACCCTTCATTAATCTTGCCCATCACAAAAACAGTACTCCCAACATAAAGCTTCATGCTAATGTGTCAATGTACTTTATATGTTGTTGTTTAGTCGTTAAGTCATGTCCAACTCTTCGTGACCCCATGGACCAGAGCACACCAGGCCCTCCTGTCTTCACTTTATATACTCACCTTTAGAACCTCCATTTTAAGCCCACTGTCTGATGTAGGACCATCAGGCATTTGCAGAGCCTGCACAAAGGCTTCTGTGAATTGCTGTACCACAGGGAAAATCAGGACTTTAGCTGCTCCCTACAAGAAAAAAAAGTATCCATGTGTTTCTAATTGTAGCAACTTGCAAACTGTTTGTCAATAGTAATACATTAGCTTGAAGACTAGGTTCAGCTTCCATGGGATTCAAACCCTGTTCGCCAGAATCCTAGTCCCTCACTCTATCCATTACACCACACTGGGAATCCCATATTCTGGCTACTCACTAGTAAAGTAGAAAATGGTTTTATAAATGTGAAACGTGTTCTCAAAAATCAACAGCATTATAATAACAGGTGGATCTAGTTATAAAGAACTTGCACCTACTATAAAGAATGAATGCATTTCATTGCTTAACAAAATAACAAACAAAAGAATGGCCTTTACTTTTACTCATTTCCAAAGCCCATGAAGCACAGCTTTCAAGTCACAGCAAAATACATATTTGATACCAATCATTTTTAAATAGTTCAAGTGAAATCTGAATTATTTTCTCAGACATAGTAATAAATGCACTTTGCAACTAAGACAGAGGTGGAAAAAATGTAACCCAACTCTTACACCAGTGCAGGGGGTCAAGAAGGCATGAGGTTAGGCATATCACCAGCTTAACCCCTACTTATAACACCTCACATTTTTCAGTCAGTCTCATCTGAATGTCATTATTTGCTGAACTCAGGCAGAATATTTAGAGAACTTGGCCAGAATAGAAGTTCCTAATTTTGAAGGCTTCTGGAGAGTATCCCTGCACACAATAGCTAAGTGAAAGGTTTTTGATAGTGACACCAAATGGCAACAAAATTTGCTGGTAGCTCAGCTTAAGTCTGCCTCTACTTGTTAAGCAAACATATTTCCTATGTACAGAAAACGACTTTTCAGACAGTGGAACGCCAGTAAATTATAAAGCACACATTACAGGGCTTGGGTTTAAGTCACTCAGATTGAAATGCTCTTTCTATCACAGTATTTCATGGTGTATGTAGCTACAGCAATACTAATTTGTATTTCCTATGTTACAAAGTTAATACAACAGACAATCTTTGGTAAAAAGTGTTACCAAAATCAATACAACACACAAAACAGGTAATCATCTGTTCACCTTTTCCAACTCCTCCATGTTACAGATCATATGGGCACAAGTGGTGAAGATTTCTACAGCACGTGATCTTGTACGAATACCATAAACCTAACAGAAGAGAAACAGCTGTCAAAACATGAAAAAGGCTGTATTTATCAGTCTGTTACCAGGTTTTCACCCACACTAGTGTTTTTGCATTATAATTCCTAGAGTCAAACGAAAACAAAAACCCAAGTTTGCTTTCCAAGTTTTGCTCTGTGCAAACTACAGTGATGCCTCGACTTACAAATGTGCCTACTTACGAACATTTTGACTTGCAAACAGCTCCGTTCGCAAAATTTTGCGTCAACTTGTGAACAGAGCTTCGACTTGCAAATGAAAAAACAGCAGGGGAGGCGGGGAAAGCGCGAAATTTGAACTTTCAGTTAACCATTGGCCAGCAAAGAGGCTGCTTGTCTGCTACCTCACTCGTCCCAGCAGTAAGTGAGTAGATATGGAGAGAGACTTTGGACTGCCTGTTACTGCCCGGTACTGTACTGTATGGACTGTTTATTTTTTTTAGGGGGGGGGGTTATTTTATTTTTTGATTTACTGTACAGGGGTTTTTTGCAGCTTGAGACTGTTTATTTTTGGGGGGGGTTATTTTATTTGTTGATTTACTGTACAGGAGTTTTTTGCAGCTTGGTGGGGGCTAGGGCTAGGTGGGGGTTATGTTTCTGTGCTCTGATGGCTCTTGCAGTGTGGATTTAAAATGTGAAAAGTAGACTGTAATATTAAAATTAAATGTGAAAATTAGACTGTACAGTGCTGCCCCGTTAAATGACGAATCCGCATGACGATGACTTTTTGCGATCGCTATAGTAATTCACAAAACAGTCATTCCAATGGGTGATTTTCACTTAACAACGATTTGGTCCGTGCTTCGCGAACTGTTTGTTCGCAAGATGACGATTTTTTCGGCTCCGCAAAATGGCTGCTCTGTCTTTTCCGGACCCATGCTTCGCAGGGCAGCCATTTTTACAGCTTATCAGCACTCACAAAATGGCTTCCCTAAGGGCAATCTTCGCTGGACGATGAGGTATTTTCCCCATTGGAACACATTAAACCAGGTTTCAATGCATTCCAATGGGGAAAGGTTTTTCACATGACGATTTCGCTAAACAGCTATTTTCCCGGGACGGATTATCGTCGTCATGCGGGGCACCACTGTATAGTAATTTTAACATGTAAAATTTATTTATTTATTTTTGCATTCTGTAGCTTCTAGGGTTTGTGTACTGTGACCTTTCTTTTGTTTTAAAATGTGTGGGTTTAAAATGTGGCTCCAAAGTCTGTTTTAAAATCAGAAAATATTCTGTGAGGGGATGTGCTGGTTGGTTTGCTCTAAAATGCAGTTTAGACTCAAGTCTCCCATCCCATTCCCTTCTCTCTCTGTCTTCTCTCTTTTTGTGCTTAAAAGCACAAACTTTTGTCTGAAGGGTCTGTGTGCCCCAGCGATGACCTTTTTTCTTTCTTTCCTCTTTTCCCCATTGTTCCTTCCCTCCCTCCTTTCCTGCCCTTTTTTTACCTGTCATTTTAGGTTTTTAAAAAAAGAAAAATTCTCCCCCTAGTGGTAGAGGACAGATTAACTGGTTTTACATTAGTTCCTATGGGGAACTAATGCTTCAACTTACAAACCGTGTCTCTACATAAGAACAAAAAACACCCGGAACGGATTAATCGGTTTTCAGTACCTTCCTATGGGAAATGCTGATTCAACTTACGAACGTTTCGACTTAAGAACATCCGTCTGGGACGGATTAAGTTTGTAAATCGAGGCACCACTGTAAGTTAATAATTTCCCTCTAAGAACAAAACTATTTGAAGGCAAAGGTTTATGCTAATTTTCACAACAGCTCTTCATAGAAGATTCTGATCTCTAGTATAAACGTTCTGAAACTGAAGTCACTATATATAGTATTTACTATACAGTACATAATTCATACAGTATAAAGAACTGGCTTCATTGTTTTATATATCAAATTTGTCCTCCATTTTCATATAATTTGAGACTGGCAAGCTTAAGGACTCAGGGAGAAATATACAAAGATGATCTAAAGGCCTTCCTGTTCATGTTTAGACTTTCTCTTTTCCTCTTTTCCCCATTGTTCCTTCCCTCCCTCCTTTCCTGCCCCTTTTTAACCTAAGTCATCTTAGGTTAAAAAAAACCTTGTTCCTCTGCAAGGCTGGAGGATCTATTAAAAAGAGGTTGATAGATTCCAGCAGATTCCTTGGGGCTCTGGGAAATTTTGGCTAGGATGCCTATTGAATCCCTAAGTGATTTCTGGAAGAAATATAACCTTGGTGGCTGCACCAATCATCACCAGACACCTCTTTTGCTTAGCAAAGTTTGTATAGCTTATTACAGCACAGCATTCTGAAGTCCTTTTCCAGTGGATGATTTTCAGCTGTTGAAACCTGAGTACTAGGAGAAAGTATTTGGTCAAGTCTGCTCAGCCTCTTATACGCCTTATCCTTCTCTCTTGTTGACTGTTAAATCTAGTTGGCAACAAGATGAAAATACATTCTTGAGAGAGGGAGCTATCCCAACTTTTTAAAAAGAAATGACAATCTAATCATTCTTGGGGAAAAAAAACCTAGGCTGGACCCAGAATATATAAACAATGTAAGATGGATGGCCAATATTCCTTTTTTGGGACCAGATAATTTACAGAGGAGTAGTAGGACAACTCTCCTCATTCCTGGATAAAATTAGTTTTTAAGCCCATTCCAAATCAGATCTTAGGCCTAGTTTTGGATAGCAATTACATTGGTTCCCTTACATTCTGTGGATTTTCTTGAATATCTAAATTGTTTTTATAACTGACCATGGAACTCTTCTGGGTAAGCTGCCTGAATGTGGGAGGCACTGCTTGACTCCTACTCAGATGGTTCGCTGCAATATCAACATTCAAGTGGCTTCAGCAAATACCAACGCAGCATAGTTACTACTTCCACTAGGAAGTAGAGTGTTTGCTGGTGGGATGCCTCTACAGATCCAGAGAACCTCTGCAGATTACAGAAGCAATCATGCAACGGGCCATCAGCTCCTTATAGTAATACCAGAATGCCAGTGGCATGTCTAGAAGAATGTTTTCTCTGTGTTCTTCCATTTCAAACTTCTTACATAAAACACGAAAGAACATGCTTGGGGAAAAATTAGAGGAAATATGCATTAGCAGAAAAAGTAAATATTAAATCTAACCATTCTAAGATACTGGAAGGAAGCCTCTATTAAAGCACACTGTTACTACAATAGAAGTGAGAACAGCTATTTTTATTAATACCTCTGCCATTGTAAATATCTTATACATCTCAGGTAGAATAACTGGAGCGACAAGGGGCATCTGTATGTCAGTCACCTCCCGAGTAAACTCTAGAAAACAGTGAAACAATAATATGTTTACATAATCAAAGTCCACGTCTGCAGAGATCATGCAGTTGGAATGTCCTACTTCTGCTCTGTTTACCTGTCTAGTGTCACGGATACACAAATAGGCAAAAAAAAAAGGATCAGTATATGATTCGATCCTTCAAAAACCTGCTGATTTATAAATGTGGGATGTTGCTTCTATGTCCACAATTTAAAATGACAAGAAATGGCTTGATGTTGTCTTGCAATATTATGTCCATTTTGCCAGCAGGAGAAAAGGATGACAAGCTTTGCACAGCAAAGATCAGCTTGAATGTTGACAGCATCAAAGCCAGCAGTCAAGACGGTCTATAGGGTCTTCTTGTGCTTACTGTTGTTCACAGAGACTCCAAGCAAGGGAAAATTCCAGAACCTGATTCCTTTTTTCATTAGTTAAGCACATCTCACCCAAAGCAATTGTCATGGCCCCTCTCTCCACTATAAAGCGTGCTGCTTAGCAAAGCGTGCTGCTTATATACTGCCCCATAGCACTTCAAGCACTCTCTGGGCTGTTTACAAGTTAATTATGCAGGCTACACACTGACTTCACCAATATGACTTCTCTCTTGCTTTCTCTCTCTCCAGCACAACCCCTATCTCTCCCAACTACTATCATTCTTTTTGTGGCTACAGTACTTTTTTTCTTCATGGCTCCCCTCTTTCTCTCCCTGCATTTCCTTTATCTTTTTCTTTCAGTTGCTCCTCCTTTCATGGCTCCTCTCCCTGTGGCTTCTCTCTTTTCCAGTGTGACTCCCTCTTTTCTCTCACTTAATGACCCCTCTCCCTCCTCCCCCTTCTTCATGGCTCCTCTCTCCCCCTCCTTTTTCTCTGGCCCTCATAGTTTTTCTCTCCCCCATTCATTTTAACAATATTCAAGCACTTAGTTTACCAAATTATTGGTAAGAAGTCTAGACAACTGAGTTGTACTACCATAATAAATATATGAAGCTAGAGTTTATGGAAGATTTCAAATGTAAAACAAACCTTATTATGGTCATGCATCTTTTAAACAACAGAACAGATCAACATCAAATAAAAAGGCATGTAAAGGGAAGCATGTTTTTTTCAGGAACCCACAGTGGGCATATAAAAAATAATAACAGAATTGGCCACATGTTGCTAAATATGGCAGCAAAACATGTTCCCAATGCCTTTTAAAAAGAAAGAACTTTAAAAGTACTTTTACAAATTTCATACAGAGAAAGTTGATATTGCCTGCTATTACTCTGCTAAATATAGTCCAGATTCAAGAATCAGTTCAAAGATTACAGCTGTTTGGACAAAGATTTCAAATGTAAAACAAACATTATGGTCATGATTCTTTTAAACAACAGAACAGATCAACATCAAATAAAAAGGCATGTAAAGGGAAGCATGTTTTTTTCAGGAACCCACAGTGGGCATATAAAAAATAATAACAGAATTGGCCACATGTTGCTAAATATGGCAGCAAAACATGTTCCCAATGCCTTTTAAAAAGAAAGAACTTTAAAAGTACTTTTGCAAATTTCATACAGAGAAAGCTGATATTGCCTGCTATTACTCTGCTAAATATAGTCCAGATTCAAGAATCAGTTCAAAGATTACAGCTGTTTGGACTGCTCCCTTCTATCAATAACGGCTTATAGAATGCTCTACTAACTGGCCATGCAATATCAGAGATGCATCCCAGAATCAGAAGACTTGCTCTCACAGAGTCAGTAAATTTGTGTCTGGTTTTTAATATTCAAAGTGCAAGCAAAAGTTACTCTATTACACAAGTATGACATATTGCCACTTGTCGCACTTTTTTCAAGGAAGATTATTATATCCCAATTATCCCACAAAGTACAACCTTACAGGTGTCCTTACTACTTATAGCACAGGATTTCCAATACTCAGAAACAGCAACATCTAATACAGTGGGGTCTCGACTTACGAACTTAATCTGTATTGGAAGGCAGTTCTCAGGTCGAAAAGTTCTTAAGTCGAATCTGCATTTCCCATAGGAATGCATTGAAAACCATTTAATCCGTATGTGCTCTTTTCGTCCATAGAAACTAATGGGAAGCTGCTATTCCGCCTTCTGCCACTAGAGGGGGATATTTTTTCTTTTTTCATTTTAACCTAAGATGACTTAGCTTTTAAAAAAAGGGGGAAAAAAGAGTTCGTAACTCGAATCTAAGTTCGTAAGTCGAGTCCATATATTCCTATGAGAGCGGTTTGTAAGTCGAAATGTGCGTATGTCGAGCCGTTCGTAAGGCAGCAACATCTAATATTACTTATATTCTTTAATCTATGTACCTTCCAGAATTTGGATATACATAGAAATGGGAATGGAAGGACGGGAACTAAAACCATATCTTTATTACGAACCTCAGAATGCACAGTATAATTTCCAAGGTGAGACATAAAGTAGGGAGCACTCTATATATTTTTAAAAAGCTACTATATTCAAATATTTTGGAAGCCAAAGTCAACCTGGCAGAACTGCTCAAGTTACAACCGTGTATGCATACATACCTGTAAGCACCCGCATAGCTCCATGTACTGCATTCAGATCCCCACTGACCAGCATTTCCATCAACAAATTAAAAAGTTCAGGCCAAGCCTCAGGCCAGTCCCAATGTGCTATTGCTGAAACTGCGTAAGCAACACTTGAACGCACTTTACTAATCGATTCTCTTAAACCATTGGGAAGTAGTTCCCTAATGGCAGCTTTTGCCTGCAAATAAAAAGGAAGATAAGTTTACCAAGATACAGTATATCAATCTACTCCACAAGACTGTAAGTTTTGCTCAGGACAAAGCCTTAACAATCCTTATGCACACAGCGGTAAACATCCAATAAAAATATGTTTTATGGAAACATATACAAGTATTTAAATAGGTTTAACACAGAATACAAGAAAGGCTGCTCCCTGCTAAATTTAGACAGCATGAATATTTAAGATAAGGATTACCCTTTCTGTAGTCTCAGGAGGTCTAAACTTGTCTGACTGGTTACACCAATGAGTTTCCACATATTGTTTCAAAATAACAGATGCCAGCTGTGAAGAAAAAAATGCAAATGAAACAGAACCAATATGATCAATTTGAGAATTCATTTCAAATATCCTCTCAGATGTTTCAAAGAATAAGCAAAACTGCCAAAGACTAAGAATATTAATCCAGAAGCTGTGCATATCTTTGTCACAAAAGTACCACACCAGAAAGTCTATCTATGGTGTGCTTTGTCACATATCTGCAGTGCTGAATTCTGCTGTTGACAAGCAATTCTATTGCCCTGGAACACATTTAGCTAGTACTGGAAGAGTTACTATCTCTTTGAACATCAAGGTTCACAGTTCAAGAATGCTCACTGATCCAGCTATGTCACTAGAGACCCAACACATGGCGTACCTTTCACAAACTGTCTGATTTGCCAACTAGAATATCTTCTAAACAGAGCCTCAGCAAAATTTAAGAAATCAGTGGTAGCCTATTTTAACGCACTGTTGATGGTGTTGGCACTGAAGTCTGTCCAAGCAGTTCAGAACAGAGCTAATAGATTGCTGCTTGGAATTATCTGGAAGCACTTCTCATCAGTCCTTAACAGTTAGACTGGCTCCTGCTACTTTTCCAGGCAAAATTCAGAGTGGTGGTGCTTATGTTTAAAGCCAAACGTACCTTGAAGGATCAATTACTACCCTACTAATCTGTTCATTCTGGTTACTTAGGTAATCAAAGGTCCTCTTATAGCTGCTTGTCATCAACCAAACCAAGATACAGTGGGTAATGAACAAGCAAAGGACCTTCTCATTGGTGATGTCCTTTTTACAGAGCTTCCTTGATACCCACACTGCTGGCTTTTCAGTGCTTGATACTGAATACCTTTGTTTTCACAGAATGTTTAGTCTTAAATTGACTGACTTTATTCTGATTTTTCTTCCCAATAATAATAATAATTCATAATGCTGAGTGTTTTTATGCTTTGACCTCTGGGTAACCTGCCTCAGAAATTTTATAGATCCGGAAGATTAAAAAACATGCCCACTCTTGATTTAAAGAAACTATTAGGATCTTTTTGAATGGATATAGTTTGCTCCCAAGTGCTTCAATGAATTATAACTATATTGGAAGCTAATTTTGTTCCACTATACTGAAATAAGCAAGTGAAAACAACTCAATAGACCATACACAGATCTACAGTTTGTTTAGCTTCTTAACTTGTGGTCCTCAGACCTCCAGGGGCTGTGATGCCCTCACAGGGGGTCTGCAAAAGCTTGAAGAAATGTTATGATCTTTTGCAGTTAAAATAAAATGAATAATGAATGAATGAAAGAAAAGGAAATGCAGAACATAATCTAAATTTCCATTATTTGTGTAAAACTTGGCCTTTCTAACCCACTGCCTCCATTAAAAACAAACAAGTAAAAGTTGGTTATGAAAATAACTGTTTTATAGCAAAGAACTGTTTGATATTTCTGCATACAGTGGTAACATGCAAGTGAATAATGCTGAGTTGCTGAGAGACAGCACATGATATTTCTTGCTACTGAGCGGTCAGATGCCGCAAGAAGAGAGCTGAGTCAGTCAGTGTCAGTGTTCGGACGGACTCCATGATCGTGTTTCTTCTAATGAAACTGTTTGGTTCTTGTTGGGTAAATTGCCTTTTCGATATTGCAGTGAATTTAGTAACAATCATTTTGGCTGGGCCTCAGAATGGATTGCTAGCTTAATTTGAAATGCACACAAACTGGTGCTGTTGCTGATGATGTATCCTGTTCAAAGCAAAATGAAGCTTCTTCCACTCATCTTGAAAAGTGTTGCTGTTATAGCAAGGAGTATCAGTCAGTGAGACCCTTCACGAGAAACTTTAAATATGTGATGAACGTTAGGGTTTTAAATCTTGAGTTAAGTCTTGGTGGTCTGTGGCAACAAAAGATATTTAAAGGGGTCTGTGGTAAAGAAAAGGTTAAGAACTACTAGTTTAGCTCATGTTATTAATTTAATCCTCAAGGTTCTTATAAGTCTACAGAAGGGGCAAGGAAGAGGACCAATCTGTAATACAACCAGTGCACTCTCTCTTTATTAAACTTACTGCTGCACCTTAAGAATCACAGGGAACAACATAGTAACTATTTTAACATCTTTTATCACATTTGGTAAGACTGACCTGACGAATGGCCAGTGCTCCTTGAGGATCTACAGTCAATTCTGCCAAGTGAACACCAAATTCTGAAATAAAAATAATAGCCATATAAGGAGTTAACAACGTAAAAGTTTCAGTTTCATAAGTCATATTGCTGAAAAATATATATACAGTGGTGCCTCGCTTAGCGACGTTAATTCGTTCTGCAAAAATCGCTGCAGAACGAAAACGTCGCTATGCGATATTAAAAAGCCCATAGAAATCCACTGAAACCCCTTCAATGTGTTCCTATGGGCTTAAAACTCACCATTGAGCGAAGATCCTCCATAACGCCACCATTTTCGGTGCCTCTAAAACAAGGAATCCATCCCTAAACACAGCGGGCGGCCACGTTTTTCCCCCGGTGGCCATTTTGAAACCGCCGATCAGCTGTGCGAAAATGGGGGCTTTGCGATGATCGCTTCCCTGCGATCATCGCAAAGCGAAAATACCCCAGAGAACATCATAAAGAGATCACTTTTGCGATCACAAAAACAGCGTCGCTAGGTGATTTCGTCGCTAAACGGAGCGATCGCTAAGCGAGGCACCACTGTACTGGTACTTTTTCACAAATGACCCTTTATTCCTTGCACAACTTATTCTACATACTTGTTGCTCTATTCTAAAAAATCTTACTGGCAAAATAAATTTTCCAATTAACTAGTTGATACGGACAAGTTCACAAGAAACAGAATGAAATCTGCAGTCTCTTGCATCTAGAAATATGTGACATCACAAGAAAAACTGTCTAACCTGTTACACCCTGCAGTAGCAGCAGCAAAGAATAATTCACCCAGAATGAGACAACTTTAATATTAACTTTCAGAAAGCTATGTCCTGCATACAGTATTTTGCAATTTCTTCCTTCTTGCTTCCCATGAGGTAAGAGAAATCCTGTAATGTTATATTTACAGCTCTTTAAACAGAATAAAATGTGATATCAGAAAAATAACAGGATGTACAAACTATTACAAAAGCTACATTTAACAATTGGCTCTTCCCCTGATCACTGAGTTAAAACCAGATTCATATGCTGAGTCCACAAAGCCACAGAGAATTTACAATCTACCTTCCTCTCCCTCGTCCAAGTGGCTAATTTTCAGAAGCATAAGGTAGTAAGAAATGGAACACATGCTTAACATATTTAGAAAATTGTATTACTCTGCATTAAATTTAATTCTTTTTAATCTTTTAAAACTTTATTTTAAAATAAAGTAGTAAGAAATAATGTACAGTGGTACCTCGACTTACAAACTTAATCTGTATTGGAACGACGTTCGTACGTTGAAAAGTATGTAAGACGAAGTACCATTTCCCACTGAAATGCATGGGAACGGAATTAATCAGTTCGAGCATTTCAAAAGGCAAAAAAGCAGGGGGAAAGGGCTGGAAATTCGAATTTCCAGCCCTTTCTCCCTGCCTTTTTGCCTTTGGAGCTCCCAAAAGGTTTTCCACCTGACATCAGAGGAAGCCCTTTGAGAGCTCTGAAGGCGCAGATCGCAGCGGCGGGGACCCCTAGGGAGGTCTCTCATGGTGGTGGGCAAGCCCTGGGAGACCTCCCTGTGGGTCCCCGCCACCGCAATCAGCAGCTTCGGAGCTCTCAAAGGGCTTTCCCCCCGACATCGGAGAAAGTCCTTTGAGAGCTCCAAAGGCAAAAAGGCAGGGAGAAAGGGCAGGAAATTCAAATTTCCAGCCCCCTGCCTTTTTGCAGGGAGCCATTTATGAATGCCTCCGTTGGCAAAAAATAAAAATAAAAAATGGCATTGACTTGCTAATAGAGCCTCGACCTCTTTCGTAGGTCGAGCTCCATTCGCAAGTCGATGCCAATTTTTGCCAACGGAGCTGTTTGTAAATCAAAAAGTCCATATGTAGGGCCGTTCGTAAGTCGAGGGTTGACTGTACAGTGCATTAAATAGAAATTAGGATTACAGTATTAATATTGTTAATCTAAAATTATATATCCAAAATATGTAATGAAACAATCATTTATCAAGTGCAATTTGTTATAGACAACCAGCACAAGTCAACTGCAAAGTTCTCTTGAAAGAGAAATCAGAATTATTTGTTCTCTTTATTGATATTTATACTGATAGTTGATTTGTCTTGTTTTGGGGTTTTTTTTATTTTCACTGTTCTTTTCTTTGCTATTGTTTGCCCAATTTTCTGTCTGTTAAACACCCAGAATAGGACATTGCACCAACAGGGCAGTATATAAATCAATAAATACTGTAACAAATATTTGATATGTAGTGAACAAAGAGGTATACAGTATTTATGCTTAAGAAGTGTTACAACTGTGCTTCCTTGTTTACATTTTAAAAAGAGGCTTAAAAAGCTATGCAGAGAACATACTGAATTTGTTTTCTGGGCAAAAATGCTTCCTGCGCAGTATGACTTGGAAACTAACATTCCGAAGGATGAAAGGCTTACTTTAGTCATTTCTAATGAATTAACCATTCCAGATACATGAAGCACAGAAATGATCATCTGCAGTACCTAAGAACTGGAATTATCAATGACAGGAGCACAGCAGCCTTAAAGCTATGTTCCCCAGCTAAAACACCAACCAAAAATATATTTCTCTTATTAAGAAACCCATAGAGAAATTACTCTTTGCTCATGTAAATGCAGGCAAATCAGATCCGTGCAGTACAATTTCCAAATGTTATCTTCTGTTATGAACATTTGCATCCCAGGTCAAGAATCTCTGCTTGGAAATTCAGCAGAGAAAGTGTACTTTGTCCCTCTGAAGATGCCTCTTCTGACCCATTTTCAGCATTAATGATGAGCTACCAAAGGCATGTAAGGCAATTACAGTTCCTCACCGAAATTCCAAATGTCCATGATTTGCAACTCCTCTCATAGAATATCCGAGATCCATCAAAGCCAAAGTAAATGTGGAGATAGGAAAGTTCCGGCTTCACTACATCCACATTCTGAGTCTGTGAATGGTTTATTTTGTGCAACTGAGACTGTATTATAAATAATATTGTTTGCTGATTACATCAGCTTTGGTTCAGTGGTTTTTAATGTAAAAATCTAGTGAAGTGCTGTGACTGTCTGGAGGGATATCTGAAGAATTCTTATTCCTGTAGCATTGGAATAATGTTTGTTGTACATCAATATAGTGGTAAGTTGATACTCATGAGATGGAACACTGGTTGGTTTCATAGTGCAGATATTTACTGAGTCACAGACAGAACATAGCAGTCTCCATGTCACTGCAGAATTGCACCTTGTACACTGACATGGCAGATCCCAAAGATAGGTCCCATGAAAATAGAGACTCTTCTGCCTGGCACAATAAATTAGTTGGATAAAGTCATAATACTACTGAGTGAGTTTAGATGACTCCTGTCATTAACAGAGCTCTTAGAAGATCTGCAGAAGTTCAGACTAGTTTTTCTTTAGAGCAGCAAATGTTCTAAAGTAGGTAGCTATCCATGTCTTGAAAAAATCTCTGGAGTTGCTTGAAAGGCTGTTCATTCATGTTGAATTTCAAATTAGAGATTCTCTCCTTTTTTCAGTTTGCCATAAACAATACTGAGGAGATGGCTTACTAGCTTTTGGGAGATATGATCCCACTATCTTTCACTGTATTAAGAATGCTAACATTTTTTTCACCTAGCAATAATTTCTCCTGTTTGTATTTACTTAGGACAGTACCTGTCTGATTCCGAGTAGGTTTCTTTTTGTGGTTGATGGATTTCAATTTGCCTAAATGGACTGCTTTTTATTATAGAAGTTTCCAGTGGGTAGCCAGGTGAGTTAGTCTGTTGCTGCAGAAACAACAAAGAATCTTGTGGCACCCTAAAAGCCAACATGTTTTATCTGGCACAAACTTTTGTAGACTCTAGCCCATCTCTTTAATGCAACAGGAAGAAGATGCAACATGAAGAACATGGTCTGCAGAAATGCTTTACAGCCCACAAAAGCATATGTAAAATAAAACCCATTAGTCTTTAAAGTGACATAACACTCACTGATGTTTTTGTTGCAACAGGCTAACACAGCTGCTGGAAATTTCTGCATCACAGGTTTTCTCCGTGGATCCAAAGGTATATGGCAGAGCTGAAGTCAACAAACAAACTTTTCTGCCTGCACTGAAGACTCTTTCAGCATATGAACTACGGCAAGAGTTAAAATGATGCACTCTTTTGTCACTGAGCCCTGTGAGGTCATTTACTCACTCATATTTGTAAAAATGCCTTTAAAACAGTATTTGTTGTTGTTTAGTCGTTAAGTCATGTCCGACTCTTTGTGACCCTATGGACCAGAGCACGTCAGACCCTCCTGTTTTCCACTGTCTCCTGGAGTTTAGTCAAATTCATGTTGGTAGCTTCGGTTGCACTGTCCAACCATGTCATCCTCTGTTAAGTTTAAACAGTAACTACAGTATTATTAATAATAACCAGGTGCTGTCAAGTCAATTTTGACTTATAGGGACCCTTTTCAGGGTTCTGCAGGTAGAGTACACAGAAGTGGGTTACCAGTCCCTTCTTCTAGGGGCAGCTTGCCCAAGGCCACACAGGATGGCTGTACTAACAGAAGGCACAAAACTACTGAGCCATGCAGCCAGTCTTCTATTATTCACTCTGAAACTCCGAGGATACATAAGAAACTAAAGCTTTCTTGAGAGTTACAAGTTACAAAATTGCTTGCTGAGTAGAGCCTAATCATGCAAAAAAACCAAGAAACCAGGGTTATGAACTCCCCACCCCACTATATCTCAAGCAGTCACAAAAAGTATCAGCATACTTAGAAATATTTCAGTTATGAACAAAGTGAGGTACATTAGCATATTTTGATTCTCATTCAGAGAAAAGGAGAACTGTATCACATGAACTGGGAATTTCCATACATTATTTTACCCATCTAAGGATATGAAGGGCAGCTCCATATTTACACAGTGATTGTTCTACTGCTCTTTCTTACAACAAACAAGTACAAATAATAGGCATATAATTGGGTGTGTCAAGCCACATGAAGCTAAGAATTTTGATACTATCAAGTAATCCAAATACATGTATGGAAATACAATTTGTCC